ACTATCGTTCTCTCCATGGAAAATCCATTTAATCTGGAGAGAGCCGGATTCTGACATCTCTGTGTTGTTGGTTCTTTTCCAAATAAGTACAGTAGTACCTCGGTTCACGAACTTAATTCGTTCCACGATTCTGGTCACGAACCGAATCAAATTTCCCCATAAGGTTCAATGTAAATAAGGTTAATTCATTCTGACCCCTATGAACGTGGTCGCCAACCAAATTGGTCGCCAACCGAATCAAATTTTCCCATAAGGTTCAATGTAAATAAGGTTAATTCATTCTGACCCCTATGAACGTGGTCGCCAACCAAATTGGTCGCCAACCGAATCAAATTTTCCCATAAGGTTCAATGTAAATAAGGTTAATCCGTTCTGAACCAGATGTATTTTTTTAACCACAAAAATATGAAACAAAGTACAGTACAGTACAGTATGAAGAGAGAGAATACTAACCTTGCTTGTGGTGACCCCAAAAAGCTTCACAGCAAGTGTCTGTCTGCGACTGCGATCTCACCTAGAGGAAGCCACGACCACGTGTCAGAGCGGGGAAGATGGCCGCGGGTCGTGTTCGTCACCCGATGCAGAGTTCGCGAACGGAAGCAAAATTTTGCAAATGCTGCTGTTCACGAACCGAATTGTTCATGAACAGAAGGGTTGGTGAACTGAGGTATTACTGTATATATCAGGTTTGCTGCTGGTGGTACTGCCAACCAGGGGCTTCTTATGGCTATGCTTTACACTTAATTTATTACCTTGGGGAATGCCATTTTACCTATTTCAATATCATTTTACATACTTAATGGGATATTTCTTGGTGCTACCTACTGAGACGCATATTGCCAGCACTACCTTTCCTTTGTAGTACTTACTGATTTGAGATACTTGGGAGATGAAATTAAACTGATAAGAGTTATGTCAGCTTTGTTTTCTAACCTGACATACGGGTTATTGGCATAGCTGATAGGCAGAAGGTGAAGTACAGTAGAAGGAAGCACTGTGGTGCTCCTTGCCGTGTTCCGCCATGGTCTGTGATTGTCAAGCCCTATAGGGCACAATCAAGGGAGCAACAATCACACTTACTTCAATAAGGAGTTTTAATGCATGAATTAGGGGTATGGTACAGTGTCTTGGAAATTGTGACTGGAACTTCCAATCCCTTTTTATCTTGTTATTTGGGCAACTTGAAAGGTGGCTAAAACCCCTGTATGAGGCTGCACCCATGCACTCTCTTCCAGGTCTGTCTGTGTTTTGATGAAATACATGAGTAGTTCTATCTGTGACAAAGATACTATTAACAAATGCAGTCCATGTGCTTTGAAGAAAATTGACAAATACAAAACAAAACAACATTTTGGTCATATTTGCAGTGAATCGATCTTAAATTGTATGAACAAGTACATCCCTCAGCACTTCTTGAGTCTGTATTGATTAACTGTTTGCCTGTAAATGTTGTTTACACACCTTCCATAAGGGGTGCCCCAAAGAAGTTCACCCAGCAGTGCCTTATGGGTAGAAAGGCAGGATATGAAATAAAACGATTAAATGTGGCTAAATCAATAAAAAAAATAGATTTAAGGGCAGATAAAAGAAAATCATTCACATCTTTTGTGTGTGTGTAATAATTTTATTGAAGATTATATAAATAAAACTAATGCAATCTACATAATATATATACACACACACACACACACACATATATATGAATGATTTTTAAAATAAAAGTGAAGAAAAAAAAAGAAGAAATGTTCCCCTTTATCCCCAGCAAGTATGAGCAACATTAACAACTGGTTGCCCTTTTCTCCTGTTTCCTTTCACTTTCCCAACGTAAGAGCCCTTTCCAGAGAGTTGAGTCTTCGCATAATGTGTCCAAAGTGGGATAATTTGAGTCTGGTCATTTGGCCTCGAGTGAGAACTCTGGCTTGATTCGTTCGATGATCTGTTGGTTAGGTTTTTTGACTTCCAGGGTATTCTCAGGTGTCTTTTCCAAGTTCAAAGGCATCAGTACTCTTCCTATCAGAGACACTTAGTTCAGTCTTAGTAGGAGTATGTCAGTATGTTGGTTCTGGTAGGATATTCTTCTCAGAAACAAACCAAAATAATCAGAGGACAGCCACAATGCTTGAAAAGCAAACAAATCCACATGATCCATTGTGTTGGAAGGACAGGAAAATATTTTTATATACAGTATTTTAACATATGGACTTAATTCCATAATTTAGTATACATAAGTTATATAATGTTCTTGGTAAAGTATTAAAGATGTATCAGAATAGATAATTGGCTATAAACAGACTGACTTTGATAATCAGTGTACTAGAGCTGTTTCACAGAGCTTTTAATCTAATTTTAACCATAAAGTTGTAATCAGTTAACAGACACTGGGATGCGTAGATAGCTTATGGATTTCATATTTTATATTGGTGTTTATATTTTATTATAAATCTCTGGGATTCTTTTTGGGAATCCTGAGGTATATAAAAATAATAAACATTATCCCTTGGATATTAGTAACACCTCCACCTCACTGAAATTCTGCAAACAGGTTAACACATTTTTATTTCAAGACACTTTTGGTCCCAGGAAATTAACTCTGGGCATCTATCTTGGGATTATTAAAGAATAATCACAAGGAACAAAAATAAATCCCAACGGCCCGCTGTTGATGTTTACCTTGTTCTGATTGATTTATTGTGCTTTTTGTTTTCTTTTTATTGATGTTGTATGCCACCCATAATCTTTGGGGCTGCGGCAGGTTATAAGTACTGTAAAATAAATATATTAAAAATGTGGAAATAATAGTAATGCTAAACATTATTTAAATATATATTCAGAACAGGATGGTAGATAGCTCAATGAAAATGTCAGCCCAATGTGCAGCTGCTGTAATGAAAGGCAAATTTTATTAGAGAAATATAATAAAGAGACATATAAAGCTTTCCTTCTGTCTTCACAATACTGTATATATTACATTACATTACCGAGTCACCACTGACTTGAAGGCACAACACCTTCAATTCAGTGTTGACTCTAAAATATAACATTATTATAATATAATGTAATGTAATGTAATATATATGTAGGTATGTATATAGTGAAGAGGGAAGAAAAACTTTATATGTCTTTTTATTATATTTCTCTAATAACATTTGCCTTTATTACAGCAGCTACACATTGGGCTGACATTTTCATTGAGCTATCTATAATCCTGTTCTGAATATATATATTGTGCCTTCAAGTCAATGTTGACTCCTGGCAACTGCCTGGACAAGTCCCTGTGGTTTTCTTGGCAAGATTCGTGCCTAAGGCAGGACTAGAACTCATGGTCTCTTGGTTTCTAGCCTGATGCCTTAACCAGTATACCAAACTGGCTCTCTCTTCACAATATTAGAACTTATCAATTAAAATGAAATTTGAAGAGATTCAGGGCAACAAGCAAAAACGCTTGTTTACTCATATAATTAAACTAGAATTCAGAGTCATCATTAGCTCGGCTATGGAAAATGAAGGTGTAGTTTCACTTTCTTGTGAGGTGGGTGGTGTCCAAATTTGAAATATAAATAAATAAATACACACTACATGGGACCAAATACATCCTATTATAGTGTGGATGGAATAATCAGAGAAGGAACAGGTGACCAAATGAAGTACCCCTGAAAGATCATTACAGAACATACATTGTTCCTTTGCCATATAGCAGCCCATGAGACTTGTTTCCTGGATTGAACTTGTATGCCACCCAACTCTCAATGACTCCGGGCACCTCACAACAATCAGAGATTGCAACAGAACATAAAAAAAGTTGGCAAGCTTGATGAAGTGACTTTGTTTATTGTCCAAGTGTTTAGATGCATTCAAATTGTTTTTCATTTCTGACAACAATCATTAAATCCGTTTTAAAACAAAATTCAATTGTTTACAGAGTGCCTCGTCTGAGTGATACACTTTCTTCAAAAATGTTTATTGTAGCAGTCTTCCTTGGCCGGTTGCTTTCCAGATGTATTCAGTTTCAGCTTCCATCATCCCCCAACCAGCACGGCAAAAAATCAGAAGGACTCTGCTAGCACTTTTTCTGACTAACAAAATTTAATAAAATGTGTTAGTTGGAAAAGGTGCTGCCAGACTCCTGATTTTCTGCCACCGTAGACTAACAGTGCTCTCCTCCTTGGCAGTTGCTCCTGCAGGTTGAGCTCAGGGGGATGGAGGTCCAGTACTTCTCAAGACTGTAAAGTTGGGCAACCATGTTAATGAAAGTAGAGAATAAGCCAAAAATTGGGCAGTTGCGCTGGAATTTGTGTTCCCATTCTGAGAGCGGGAATTTCAAGGAAAACCCATAGGCAGATTGGCCGGGAAATGTAAGTCCTTCGAAAAATTATCCATAGGATTTCAGGGTATATCTACTGCTTCAGATAACCTTATTAACTGCCACGGGCTGCCTGGTAGCATAAGAAGTCAACTGCTGTTCTTCTGTACTATTAGAATACGTAGGTTAAAGAAGAAGCAACTGATCGCTCCCTCGCCCTCCCTGACCGCTCTCAGATTTTGGGTAGGGACCTGAATGGTGGCGGCCGGAGAGACGAGGGGCGGCTTGCATCACACATGCTGACACCCCGTGACAGAAAAGGGCAGCTGCGCCGTCAGGCCGGGCATCAGCGGGCGATGCAGAGGTCACACCCGCAGGCTGCTCCTGCAATTGCCGCTTTCGGACTCGAGGAGTCACTTTTCTCCGCTCTTAGCAACGTCGCCTCAGCCTGACATGCCCCCGTCTGCCTTTCCCACGTGACTTTCTCTCCTGGAAGGGGGAGGTGTGGGGAGAGGGGGGAAAAAATCATCCGAGACTACAATTCCCAGAAGACGCTGCTGCTGCTGCTGCTCCCTCTGGCAGCGGGCACCAACCCCTCCCCGCACCGGGCTTGCGCACGCGCCGAGCCGCCAAAACGGCCGTCGCCTCCACGTGACTCCCCGCCGACCAATCGTTTTCGAACCTGATTTGTTATCCGCCTTCCCCTTTTACCTCTCCCCTCCCCTCAGCGCTTGTGCGATCAGAGCGATCTAAGATGGCGACGGTGGAACCGGTGAGTGCCCTTATTCCCGTTTCCTCCCTTCGTTTCCCCCTCTTCCTCTTTCTCTCCGCCCTCGGCCTACTACTAAGGCTTCCGAGAAGGTTATGGAAAGGCCACACGACCCTGAAGGGGACAGAGAGTCTCTTACCTACGAAGCCGAAAGCGTGTGTGTGTGTGGGGGGGAGAGATGGTTGGCGAGGAGGGAGGGCGGCAGACAGCGGCCTGGGAACTTGTGTGTCGCGCGCGCGCGTACGGCGAGCGAAAGGCGCCGGCGTGTGCGATGGAGTGCCTTGCGGGAGGAGGATGGGAAGACCTGGGAGGCCGGGGAGGGGGGCTTCGAGCTCGTGAGGCGAGCGGCCAGGATTGTGCCGTCACAGTTTGGGCGGGGGCGTTGAGGGGCGACGGGGAGGGGTCGTCTGACGGCTGAGGTGGAGAGAGAGGAAGGCCGAAGACGGCCGGCGTGAGCAGGGAGAGGAGAATTCACCACGAGAGAGGAGGGCGGAGCTCAGTCGGACTCTGGGCCCCCATCCTGGACGTAACTTCTCTATATTTCGTCGTGCCAAGCTCGCGGATCGCGCCGCTTATGCCGGCCTATTTCTCCTTCCTTGCCTCCCCGCGCCTGCCAGACACAGAGTGCCCAAACACCGGTGGAGAATCCCTTCTTCCACCGCCCCCATCCCTGATCTCCGTGGTTCCTCTCAATGCTGTCTCAACGCCCGTTTGTCTCCTCTCGGGCGGCACCATCCTGTGGGTTTAAGCTGTGCCTCCGAACCAGCCGACAAAAATTGCTTTCTTTCAGATCTTTGGTGTAACTTGTACCTTTTCTCTTTTTTGCTCCTTTGTATTTCCGAAGAATAGTATAGCTATGATTGAGCTCCTTAGAACTGGCTAGGAAAAAACTAATTTTTTTTCACACTAGCATAATTTGGGGGGGGGGATATGAACATTTGGGGTCCTGATCGTTGTCTCTGATTCAGGCCTTCTTCATACAATTGTCCTATGTTTAAATAGATCTTTTTTCCTCTTTTTCTTGTAGCTGTGCAGAATTTTTAAGGCCAAACATCACTTTCAGATACTAATTTGTTAAACGAGAAGGTTCCCCTCATCCCCCACCCGCCACTGCAACTTACTGTATTGTGAGTTGAGTGGTGAACTACAGAAGTAGGGATTGAGATGCAATGGAAGATGACTGTAGTAATACTGTGCAGGGGAAAATACTGGCATTGAACCAAGTGAACTGCATTTGGCACTGACACCATAGATACTAGCAAGTTAAATGCTCAAGTTGGCTTAGCAGTACGTACAGTGCATACAGAAGGATTGAGATTTGCCAGGGCATAGCATGCATGTACTATGTCCCTCTGCATCTGGTTATAAAAAATGTCATCTCTCATTTTCAAGAGTAGGCACAAGTTACAAGTATATTGTTTTTCTAGTCTATAAATATTGGCAGGATAATACAAGGCTCTTAAGCTTAGAAGAAAAAAATAAACTATGGAATGATCCATAATTACCACTAGATTACAGCCTTAAGTGCATTTGCCTTTTTGGAAACTCTTTTTTGATAGACTTCGCACATTCCTATTTTTTATAAGTGTTACCAGTTTCCAAAGCAAATAGGAAAAAAAGTATATGTATACAGGAGACTTATATGAAAGAATTAGAGTTTAAAACTTTGAATCATCATGATTGAAAGCCATTCTGGGTTATATAATTCAGTAAAGGTAAGTTGATGTTTTGAATACCTGTATCTAAGTTATTTTAATTTTAATTACTCACTTGAAAGACAGGCTTATTAAATATATAACATAAAGGAAAGATATTGAACATTCATGTAGTTTTGTTATATTATGGGAATGAACCTCAAAACATTCAACTACCAGCCTAATCAGTAAAGTCAAAGCACATATATTTAGTTCAGAAGTTTTATTGTGTGTAGAAATTGTAGTTGACACCACAATTTCTCTTTTAAGACAATTATTAAAAAAAAAGTTTTTACAAGCTTCTTTACAGTTTGACAGGAGTAAGTATAAAATGTGGGTTCAGTTTTCAGATGATCCAAAAGTATGTATAAGCGTTAATTTCATTCCTGTTTAGATTGGAAGTTAAAAGGATGACAAGTCTATGTTGTTGGTTATTGAAAGACTTCCTTCACCTAAGGTATAATATAATTATATTTTATAATTGCAGCTAAGGGAACAGGTAATAAAATTGAAAGTTACATATTTAATCAGTCCCTGTACTGGTAATATCAGATGGTTCTTTTTTGTTTGCTAGATTTAACTAAAATAGTTTTGTGCACCATCTGTTAGATGCCTGATATTACTGTATTTCCAGATAGTCTAGCACACAGAATATACAAATTAAATCGTCATAATTAGCTTCATTTCTCATAGGATTTTTCATTTGCAAATAGTGCTTTTTGTATCTGGATCAGAATTTTTAGCCTTTGTTGAGGGGCAGGAAAGAGCTGTGTCAATTTCTCCCCAGATTATATAGATGTAATTCTAAAAATTAGCAGGAATATACCATTTTACGTGACAGTACAGGTGTCTTCATTATAGATATTCCTTGGTTAATGACCACTCATTCAGCGACTATTTGAAGTTACGATGGCACTGAATGAGTGGTACTACGACCAGTCCTTGAAGTTCCGGCTGTCACAGAACGCCCCCACAGTTACATGATCATGATCTGGGCACTTGGCAACCAGCTCGCACTTAAGATGGTTGCAGCATCCCGTGGTCACATGATCGCCATTTGCAGACTTCCCTGCTGGCTTCCTTCAAGCAAAGTCAATGGGAAAGCTGGCAGGGAAGGTAACAAGTTGCTCCAGTAAGTCTCCTGCACCCGGCAGCAACCACCCCAAGCCTTGTGCACCCTTCCCTGCCTGGCAGCACCCACCCCAAGCCTTGCTGCATTTCACCGGTCCCTCGCATGCCTTCCCCTGCCCAACAGCAGGCACTCTACGTCTCACTTCATTTCCATTGCACTGCACCCTCACACGCCCTCCCCCACCCCACAGCAGCCACTTACCTGCCCGCTGGCTTGCTTCTGAGCCACCTGGGACTTGCAACTTCCTTCAGGCTTCCCCACTGACTTTGGTTGTTGGAAGCCCACAGGAAGTTGCGAGGAAGTCCTCGCTTAACAACCTGTAAACCTTGCTTAAGGACAGTAATGGGGACTGCCAGGATTGTCATCATGAAGCGATGCAGTCATGTGACATTGTGCTTTACGACCACATCGTTCAGCAATGGAAATTTCAGTCCCAATTACCATTGTTAACCAAGGACTATCTGTAGTTTAGATCCAAGTACTTTGTAACTAATCTCACTGAAATCAGTAGTACCTAGGTTAGTCATAACTGACGTTTCACACTGATTTTTTTTTTGAGACCTTAATGTAACTCGTTTCATCTGCAAGTGTCCCATTATTTTTTGTTTTTTATATTGGGTGTCTATAATTTATGAAGTTTGTAATAAATAATGTTTGTACATATTTCCTAATCAAATGTATTACAATTGAGAGTGGCTTGTTAGTACCTAAGATTTATTCTATCATATGTTTTGATATTACAAATCTTAATGAAGTATGTAGAAAGGCAGAAATAGGCAAGAAAATCCCTACATAAACTTAGCTGTTTAAAATGTAGTAAAATTAGCAATCTTTGAAAACATATGTTGATGGGTACCATTGCTTGGAATTTTGTTGCCCTTTTTATCTGAACTGTACCTTTGGAGTATGCATGGGGCTTGTAGTAACGAATTACTTTAACAGTATGTGCATTGAGAACTACTGCATTAAGAAAAGTAACATTTTACTAAATTTGCATACATTTGATAATACAGTCCTCAGTGGATAAATTGACTTCATCTTTTTGTTCCAGTTGCATTTGTCTAAGAAGACTCCTGAGTACTACACATGAAATTTAATTCTAATTGTTCTAGAATGCCTATATTTGGAAACTATATATACATATCCATATTAAACTATTTGCAAATGTTAATGGCAGAATATTTGAACATAGTGGTTATCTTTCAAATAAACCTTCACATGTAATATTTTATCCTTTATAAAGAAGCAAGTTAATTGTTTATTTTGTTTTTATAGGAAACCATTTCTAACCCTCAGACTTCAGAAGAAGAGAAAACTGAGACATCAGCAACTCAGGAGATAGTGAGTCCTGAAACATACGTTAAGCATCCATTACAAAACAGGTGGGGCATATTTCCTTTAAATTGTGTAATAGCATGTTCCAAAACAGAATTAACTAGGTATTTTGGAATGAAATTATTTTTAAAAATGCAGAATACATATCCATAAGCATCCTCCTTTTTAAATTAAATGTTGGGAAACATTTGTTTTTTATGTTAAATTTCAGGTCCTTTATGATAACCTCTGAAATGCTATATAACAGGGTATTCTCTTTATGTTTTAAGAAATTATAGTTGAAAATCTGCTACCTTTCCTCTTAGTGACTTTTTGCATAAAGATGAAAAAAAATGAACTTGTGATTTATGGCTTTGATGACTAGGTAGGATAGATTATAGAAAGAGTATTATGATATAACTTTAGAGAAGAGAGGTTAAAATATTTGTACTTATATGCTGTGAAGAATATTGAAAGCCACTTCTTTGTATCTTCTTTCTTTTCTATTATTTAACTTTTTTTGTTCTCTTGTACTTTTTGCTTTCTCTTTGCTTTCTTTCTTTTTTTTTTCCTTCCTTACTTTATATTAGTTTGTATTAGTTTTTATCTTCTTTTTTAAAAC